GGTGTGATAGTATACAGCTGTAAACCCAGAATTTGGGAGACTGAGCCAGGAGGATTGCCAGGAGTTTGAGGTCAGCCTGGGCTACACAGTGAGTTCAAGGCTAGCATGAACTACAGAGACTCTGTCTCAAAAGAGAGAAAAAAAAAAAAAAAAAAAAAAAGGTAGAGTTGCACTTTCTTTCTCATTTGTTTTATAGGACCCCATCCCTTCTTTCCTCAGCTGCCTACATTCCATTCCTTTCAGGAACATCCTGCTTCTTTGGATTAGTATTTTTTTTTTTCCTTATCTGTCCAAATTTGGTGCTTCTTCCCTATTTGTTAGGTCAGTAGTCACAGGTGAATAGATTGGCTGGGGGGTCTTTCTACTAACTACCTAAACCAATCCAGCCAGAAGACGCCCTTACTCAGTTAATTCTCAGACATCTACCTCCTACCATTCTCGACCTTAAGCGGCTAATCCTCACATATCTATAACCTGGCAAAAAAGAATAAATCAGAGATGGGGTCATAGTGAGACTGTCCGATTCAAACAAGAAATCAATGAGAAGAAAAAGGAATTTGAATTTGTAATTAATTGTTTTAGAATCAGAATCTTTAATACAAGTATGCACTGAACCATACAGAAAATGGTCCTCCAGGCAGTTCATCATTCCTCTCTGACAATACTGATTGTTAAAAGATTTTTGAAGAACATTTAATAGAGGGGAAAGTTTAAGCTTTTCTCTAAAATTATAGTCACAAAAATATGACTTGGTGTTCAAATCATAAAATGCAATCTCTCCCAGCTCATACTGTGGGAAAATGCCAACTTATGCTTTATCCCATATATTTGTGGATTGATCAATTTGCCAGCCATCTATTTCCAGGGCAAAGTGATTTAAAACTTTTTCTGGAGAATGACTCCTCTCTCACACACACACACACACACACACACACACACCCCTAAGGACCATTCAGCTCTGGCTCTCACTTCTACTTTCTGAAAATCTCTCCCACTTTCAAATTGTTAAAAATCCAGGACAGCTGCATGAAAAGTAGGTGAACAGATAAAATGGGCTGATTCCCTTGCCCCAAGGGTCACACTCTTCCTATTTGTTGAGATCCTAAGATTAGGGGAGACAATATAAAGATTTCACATCAAATCTACCTGAGATGGATTGATTGTCTTTTGCAGACCAAAATAATATGGAGGGAGCTGACAACTCTTCTTCAATTCACAGGAAAAAAAAAAAAAAAAATATATATATATATATATATATATATATATATGCCTTTATACCTGCTATTTATGCTTCTAATACCTCTCGACAAATCCATGTTTGTTTGAAATATTTCCCTCCTACTTCACTTAACAAAATTTTTAATGTGGATATGTGGTCTGAAATTTGGCTTTCATTCACAATTAGATTTTGGGAGGCCGGGGACATGGCTCACTGGAATAAGTGCTTCCCTGGCAAGTGCAAGGACCTGAATTCAATCCCTGGTTCCGACAAAAAACAAACAAAAACAACACACAATTAGATTTTGACATTCTTCTCTGCATTAAGCAGATTGGCCTGCATTGCAGCCTATTTCTTTCCCAAGTACTGCTTAAATTCTTCAAATTCAGGGTATAATTACTTCCTCTACCTTTTCTTCCTCAACTTCAGTTTAATGAACTCTGAAATTTCCTTCTTACATCCCATTTCAGCATCTTCCATGTGCTTCTTCAGGCCTTCAATGTAGTATCTAAGGTTGCCCCTATAACTAGATGCAGTGCAGTCAGTGGACTTCTGGTTGTGATGCTGTGTTCAGAGAGATCCTGGAATGGCAACACAGAGTTCTAGGGCTTCCTCTCAGAACAACACGACAGTTCTAGGGCTTCCTCCCAGATCTTCACTGTGCTTCTCACACAGGGGTTCCCTTGCTGTCTCTGTGGTGGGCACCTATATGATAGTATCAATCATGTGGCATAACCAAGTACTGCTCTCGAGGTTGTCTGAGCAGCAAAAAAGGCATATAGGACAGGGAAAGACATCCATGAGATATTCCCAGAGCTGGTGGTTGTAGGGAGTGATGAAGTTGTACATACATTCAGTGATCTCCAGGTGTCTCTGGTAATCTAGGCAGGTGGGGCATCTGGCTCATCTTTGGAGATGGGCCAGGGAGGCTTGAATGGCCACTGGGAAGCTCTGTTAGAGGAGACGTTTCAATAGGATTGGTTCTTCAGGAACTCAGAAGTGAGAAACCAGTGCCTCTCCAGGGTCCCCAGGAAGCTGTAACACCATGCACTTGTGTCTGCTTCTTTCCCTTCAGCCCTAGAAGCAGCTGAATTTCAGTGGGAAGTGCAGCCTCCTGGCACCCCTCATCCCTTGGCTACTTAGTAATCTTTGTAGAGAGTCACAGCATTGGGAGAAGTAATGGAAATTATCGACAGTGTAAGGAATTCCAGACTGTGGAACACTCAGTGGGTCAAATGGCCAGGTTTTAGGAGTAGGTGGCTCTGAGGCTATCTGGTCCTCTGAAGCCTACCTTGCACTATACTGCCTGTAATTAATATTTTATTTGAAAGCCAGACACATAGGTCCTCTGATTAAGATCTTCTGGCTCAGATAGACCTGGTCTGAGCTTTGACACTGGCTAGCTGTGACTTTGGAAAACTATTTCCTGTCCATTAGCCTTGATTTTGTTCATTTGGAAAGACAGGATTGGGGCTGGGGAGATGGCTCAGTGGAATAAGTGCTTCCCTGGCAAGCGCAAGGGCCTCAGTTCAAGCCCCAGTTCTGAAAAAAAAAACAAACAGGATTATCTACATGAAAAGTATTTATCCCACTGCTCAGCACATTGCAAGTAAGTCCTCAACAAATTCAATTAGTATAAATCATCATCATAATTATTATTTGAATGGAAATATGCTACTGTATTGCTAAGAAAATGGTTAGAAATAATCATTAATCTAAGGCTTGTAAGTACACCAAGGCATTTTTAAAAGACAAGAGATATAAGAATACAAATATAGTATATCTAAGGTTTATAGGGCAATGAAATCTTAAGATTTTGTAACACACCTATAATATTCAAATAATGGAACTTAACAAAAAAAGGGGATACAGATGAATGTCCATTTTGTATCTGTGTATTCAAAATGATTAGGATATATAGTTACATTCTCTTAATGAATAGAGGGATTTGTTCTAATGGTGTTTGTAAATAGGATATCATGTCTGCATCTCGTACAGCAATTAACCACTAGGAAGAATGTATGCAGTATGTTAATTACTGAAACTGTCCTACCAATTTGGTTTGAAACTGTCTCACTGCTATTGGTTTCTCAATAAAATTATGGGAAAAAAAAAGATTTTGAAAGGCTCAATGTGAGCTGCAGAATAGACAGGGAAGAACAGTAGCAGTATGTTCAAACTGGATGGGATCACCTCCTTTCCTTATGGTAGGATAGAAATTTTCCCCTAGGTAGCAGGCTCAGTTTGTAAAATCAAGTCGCAATTTACTAAGCATTTACCAGGTGCTTGAGCCTGTAATAATTTATGAGAAGCTGAGAAGAAATGAAGGATTTCATTTAATTTCTATTCTCAAGAGCCCCATAGTCTCACTGAAAAAGTAATGAACACAATCTGATGTAATGTATCAAATTCTGCAACACAGACTAAGTGCAAAAAGTGATCACAGGACTGGGAAGATAGCTCAGCGGCTTAAGTGCCTGCCTGGCAAGTGTAAGGTCCAGAGTTTGATACCGGTACTGCAAAATAAATAAATAAAAAGGATCACAGAAAAGAGCTAATGGACTTTAGCACCTAACAAGAAATTCATGGAACAGGGGGTTTGGGTGGGATGGGTAAAGGGCAGAGTTTTACATACTAAAGGATGTTTGAAAGGGAAAAGAACCGGGAGTTGAGAGCACCCTGAAGATGCCATTCGAGAAGTGTTTTGACAGGAACAACATCCAAATCAATTCATTTTGACTAAATGGCTACTGTAAACCGTATGTGTTAGAGGTTTAGGTATAGTAAAAACCGATAATTTCTGTTCCCAAGGAACTCACAGTCCTTATGAAAAGTCAGGAGAAGCAAACAATACCACTTATTACTAGGCGTGTGACAGATGCTACGAGAATAACGGGGGGAATTTTGAAGCACTTAGGTGACAGGGACTGGTCAGGACTTCCATCACGTAGTCAGGCAAGGTAAATGATCTTCAGAGCTACACAGCCTGCCGTCGGAGTTCATCTACCCTCAGACAGTGGAGAGCTCGGCACCTAAATTACTCTCGCACCTAAGTTACTCTGCGTAATGACGTAGGCTGGGCTAGGAAAGGCTTGACCCTTAAGGCCTATAAGGTGAGGCGTTCGGGTTACTGAGGAGAGAACAATCTGGGCCGAAGGAACAGCAAACATAAAGGTACTGACGCCTAAGGGCCCGGCATAGTTTATTTAGAATTCCATGTAGTTTCCAAGTCTTCTTTCCCATTCTTTTCAACCTAAGGTTGCCGGATGAAAAAGCTGCTCATTTAAGTCTGAGTTTCGGATAAACGATATTTTAAAAATTATCAAGTATGCTGCAAATATCGCAAGGAACCTGCACACTCTGGCCCTCCTTTGATTCACCCCAGCCCGCCCCGGGAGCCCACAAAACCCTCACGGATGCCGGAGAGCCGTCGCGATAAAGCATGAGATCTCTATTTTCCTGCCATTCTTACATTTTTCACTCTCGAGGTTCCAGCCCAGGCATGAGGAATGCAGTTCGCAACTCGTAGCTCGCTGGGTGTCAAGGACCCACTTTTCCCAACTGGAACTGAGGAGAAAGGCATTACAAAACATTCAGCCCCCAAACCTAGAGCTGGCTTTTCTTCTAGCGAATAACGCACGAGCTAGAACCGGAAGTCCCGCCTCCTCTGAAGGACGGCCGAAGGAAACAGCCAATCCAAAGGAAGACAGTTCTTCCGCGCGCCCCGCAGCGAACCTTGAGAGGGGCTTGAGACCGGAAGTGATAAGGGGCGGGGCTCCATGCCGGAAGTGAGAATCTCGTAGTTTTCTTCGGTATGGCGCCCTACCACGGTGGAGGCGTGCCGGCCACCTGAGGCGAAGAGCGGTGGAGAGCGTAAGAGACCCGGACGCAGTTTGGAGCTGGGCCCGAGCAGCCGTCCCCCAGTCAGGTCATGGGCCCCAGCAGCCAGTGGGAAGCGTGCTTCGCGATCCTGCGAGTGCACCCTGCCGGAGTGTTCGGGATAGCCTTTCTGGCCCGGGTTGCCCTGGTGTTCTACGGGGTCTTCCAGGACCGCGCTCTGCGCGTGCGGTACACGGACATCGATTACCAGGTCTTCACGGACGCTGCGCGTTTTGTCACACAGGGGCGGTCCCCTTACCTGAGGGCGACCTACCGTTACACCCCGCTGCTGGCGTGGCTCCTCACACCCAACGTCTACCTCAGCGAGTTGTTCGGAAAGTTTCTGTTCATCAGCTGCGACCTCCTCGCCGCTTTTCTTCTGTACCGCCTGCTGCTTCTTAAGGGGCTGGAACCGCGCCAGGCCTGTGGCTACTGCGCCTTCTGGCTCCTCAACCCCCTACCCATGGCAGTGTCCAGCCGAGGCAACGCGGACTCGGTTGTCGCCTCCCTGGTGCTTATGGCCCTGTACTTAATCGAGAAACGCCTCATCGCGGGGGCCGCAGTATTCTACGGTCTCGCGGTGCACATGAAGATGTATCCGGTGACCTATGCCCTTCCCATAGCTCTCCACTTGCTTCCCGAGGGCGACAGTGGCGAATGCCATCAGTCCCGGCCTTCCTTGCAGGCTCGTTTGTACGCATTCCCGAGGAGGCTGTGGAGTCGGGCTGTACTGATCTTCGCAGCAGTTGCTGGACTCACATTTTCTGCGCCGAGCTTTGGTTTTTACCGTAAATATGGTTGGGAATTTGTGGAGCACACCTACCTTTATCACCTGACCAGGCGGGATATCCGTCATAACTTTTCCCCATACTTCTATATGCTGTATTTGACTGCAGAGAGCAAGTGGAGTTTTCCTCTGGGAATTGCTGCGTTCCTGCCACAGTTTATCTTGCTTTTAGCGGTGTCCTTCGCCTATTACAGAGACCTCGTCTTTTGTTGTTTTCTTCATACGTACATTTTTGTGACTTTTAACAAAGTCTGCACTTCCCAATACTTTCTTTGGTACCTCTGCCTTCTGCCCCTTGTAATGCCGCTAGTGAGAATGCCTTGGAAAAGAGCAGTCGCCCTCCTAATGTTATGGTTTATAGGCCAGGCCCTGTGGCTGGCACCTGCATATGTTCTTGAGTTTCAAGGAAAGAACACCTTTCTGCTTATTTGGTTAGCTGGCCTATTCTTCCTTTTTGTCAACTGTTCTGTTCTGATTCAGATTATTTCCCATTACAAGGAAAAACCCCAGACAAAGAGAATCAAATATGACTAACCAACCAAAAAGTTTGGGAAATTTTTTTTCCTGCATATTCTAAGCACTGTAGTGAAATGTCTTTATTTCAACGGAAATTAAAACCCATGTTTGCTTTATACATAACAGGGACTCAATAATTGAAGCTCATCTTTTAGAAAACCTTAGGACGCATTTATACATAATGGGAAGTAAGGAATACTTGTTTTATGTCCTTTATTTTTATTATTTTTTTGTACCAGGAATTGAACTCAGGACCTTGTCCTTGTCAGGTAGGTATTTGTGCTACTGAAGAACACTTGTTTTAAAATGGAAAGACCAATTAGGTGTGGTGGTACATGCCTGTACACCAGCACTAAAGCAGGCTGAAGCGGGAGAATCACAACTAAATTCTAGATGAAAAGCCTTTTTAGCAAATAGAAATTTGAAATTAAGAATATACTAAAGTTTTAATGTATACTTTAAAAATATCTTTGGATATTTAAGGTCCTTAAACACAAATATTAGCATGTTAGTATATTTTTATCTCTTTAATTAGTTTATTTTTTTGCGGAACTGGGGATTGAACTCAGGCCCTTGCGCTTGCCAGGCCAACACTTATTCTACTGAGCCATCTCCCCAGCCCTATCTCTTTAATTTTAAAAAGGTTTTTCATCTAGAATTTAGTTGTGTTATTGGTGTTGCAAATATATTAGAAAAAAGATTTAATGTACTTAGTACAGGGTCTTACTATACAGATTGGACTCATAGTGATCCTCCTATTTTCAGCCTCCCAAGCGCTGTGATTACAGGCACACATCACCATGCCCAGTCTCAGTCACTGACTCAGAATACCTTGGAGGCAGGTCGGCACAGCACACAGGGGATAGAAAAATACTGTTTTATCATTGAACTTGTTTGTAAGAGTTTCTGGTTTAAGCACACCCCACTTAGTGAAAATTCTTGTTGGAAATGGAGACCTTCAAGGGATGCACCTGGAAAATATAAGCAGCAACTTTCTAAGGAGCCATTGTACCATTAAATGGGAAATTGGGGGAAGGATATGTGAAAATGAGGTTTTGGTGGGCAGATTGTAATATTTCTGGGGAAATATTTATTTATTTATTTATTTATTTATTTATTTATTTATTTTGGTTGGGGATTTCCTAACATTCTAAAATGTTATAGCAACATATAAGTATGATTTTGTGGTTTTAAAGGATGCATCACCAGAGGCTGGGGAGATAGCTCAGTAGAATAAGCGCCTGCCTGGCAAGTGCAAGGTCCTGAGTTCAATCCCTGGTACCACACACACACACACAAAAAAGATGTATCACTTAATAAATTGTTCCTTCTGTCAAAAATAGCAAACCTGTTGTGAACAAAAAGCTCCAGAGAGGTAATATTTTTCATGTCAACTCACACCTAAGAAGTCTCTTGACAACAAAGTGACTGAGCTGGTCACAAGTAAGAATTATATTATTGTCAGCATTTCTTGCTGGAAGTTTTTTGAGATCTGGCATCAGAAGGAGAGAATAGGTGGCTTTTATGAGCTGTCATTTGGGTTAAAACAGCAGGCTGTTTTTGAGGACAGTGGACCTTCCTTAAACATCTAGTCCCCTACCCTGTGTTAGATCTAATGTTGATGGATCTTTATATATGACTGTTCAACTAGCAGCCTTCCAGCCATGGCATTCTCATCTTTTAGAATTACTGTTACTTTTTAATAACTTAAAAATTGATTGATAGCGCTAGAAGGGAAAGGGGCAAGAAATAGAAATACTGCAGAATTTTCTCACCCCAGTATAATTGTCTTTGTATTTCCCTGATTGCTGTTTTACAATTATACTTTTTCTTTCTTTCTTTCTTTCTTTCTTTCTTTCTTTCTTTCTTTCTTTATTGTTTGAGGTGCTCGGTGTCAAACCTGGGGCCTTAAGCATGCTAGACAGTTGTTCTGCCATTGAGCTATACCTCCACCTCCTTATTTTTTACTTTAATTTTCTTTATTGTGGCTTACTTTTTGTATTTAGCATTGAAATTGCTAATTAATTTGTCTCATGGTTGTTCATATCATAAATGTATCGTTCTTCCATTCTTAGGTTTTTTAAGATTACTTTTGATTTTAATATCCTAAATATGACTTTAAATATTTTTCATATTTTAGATCATTCTCATAGGGCATTCTTAGAAGTCAACAAATTCCACCAGGCATGATGGTGCACACCTGTAATTCCAACACTCAGAAAATTGAGGCAGAAGGATCACTATGTGTAGTGAGTTCGGGGCCAGCCTGAACTATATAGCGAGTCCCTGACTCAAACCCAACAACAACAACAAAAATCCAAACAGATTTCTGTTTGGGTCTTCAATTCCAGATTTTTTTTCCTGTGAGTTCTTTGCCAAGAAGATGTAGATCTAAAAGGACAGAAGGTATTGTGCCATTTATGACCTGTATGCTAAGTATCTTAATTTCTGTCCCGTGACACCAGAACAAAACACCCAATACCAACAACTTAAAGAAGGAAAAGTTTATTTTGTCTCACATTTTAAAAGTTTCAGTTCTTGTATAGTTGGAAGCATGGTGGAAGAGCTTGGTCTAAGGAAAGCTACTCCCGGGAATCGGAGAGTCCAGGGTGGAGTTGGAAAGGAAGGTACACCTTCCAGGTCATGGCCATGGTGGCCTTCCTCCTGACTACATCCACCTAATAGCAGGTCTGCCATAATGTCACCTTCTAAATCCAGCTTCTGAGCATGTGAGGCTAAGTTAACTTGTGAAAGAATTTAATGTAATCTTAGGGAATTTTACATTTTTCATTTATCTGCTTTCCAGTTTTGTTAAATCTCTTCTTTGGCTTCTTTTGTAATCCTTTTGATTTCTTTATTAGCTCTTTCATACCTTAAAATTCTATAGCACTTGGCTTATTTCCTGCATAATTCTTTTTGTTCATATTTGTTTGTTGTGGTACTTAGGATTTTTTTTTTTTTGTTTTTTGGTGGAACCGGGAATTGAACTCAGACCCTTGCACTTGCCAGGGAAGCACTTATTCCACTGAGCCATCTCCCCGGCCCGGTACTTAGGATTGAACCCAGAGTCTTCACATTGAGCTACAACATACCGACCTTTGTTTTTTGTTTTTTGTTTTTTGAGACAGGATCTTCTTAAGTTGCTAAATTGCCCAGGCAGAGCTTGAATTTGCTCTCCTGTTTCAGCCTCCCAGAATGCTGAGAGGGCAAGTGTGCACCACTGTGCCTGGCTCTTTTTTGTTCTCTTACCATCTGTGTTAGCCAGCATTCTGTTACTATAACACCTGATATAAACCAGCTTGTAAAGAGAAATTTGCTTTGGCTCAGTTTTAGAAGTTTCAGTCTAGGATTGCTTGCATTTCATGGCAGGTCGCATATGCTGGAACCATTTAACCTAATGTCTGGAGGCCGAGAAGGGAAAAGAGACCAGGGTCCCATAATCTCCTTTAAAGGGAGATCCCCAGTGAACTGTGGGTTTCTGCTAGGCCCCACCTCTTAATGATCCCAAAGGCTGCCCATAGTTTGGACTCAAAAGTAGGTTTTTAACACAGGCCTGTGGGGGCAACCTTCCAGAGCCAAGGTATAACACTGCCCATTAAGATCAATACGCTGGGGCTGGTGAGATGGCTCAGTGGTCTAAAGCACCTACTTAGAACAAGTTTAGCAAAGCACAGGGACCGCGGTTCAATCCCCCCGCACCACATGCCAGCCAGCCCCGCCCCCTGGTGGGCTGAGCTGGCCACACACACACACACACATAAATAAATAAATTTTAAAAAAAAAGATCAATATGCTCACTTACAGATGAGCATGCCTTATTAGATTAAGAGAGACTGCCTAGCTTGTTTTCTCCAACTGCTTTTTTTAAACGTATTCAGAATATGGTTTATGAAGAGTCTAAGATAAATTCCCTCTTATCTCAGGTTCCTCAGAAAAGCTAATAGCCTTTTGACTGCCCACCCCAGCATAAGGAGTCTTTTCTTTTTTCTTTTTTTTTTCTTTTTTTTTTTTTTTGCGGTACCAGGGATCGAACTCAGGACCTTATGCTTGCCAGGCAAGCACTTATTCCACTGAGCTATCTTCCTGGCCCAGGAGTCTTTCTCAGAACCATTGATTTTGCTTCTCACCATCTGGAGTCTGAAAGAGATATGGTTCAGGTTTTGTGTAGAACTTCACCTTTGGCCAGTTTACATATGGCTGAATATATGTTGTTTGTGCAATATCAGCTTTTTTTTTTTTTTTTTTTTGCATTATTCTGTCCTCTGTCTATGAGTTATGCATGGAAAAAATTAGAAAATTTTTTTACATAGGATGGCATCTAAATATGATCTCTTGGCCTCGTGCCTGCCCCCTGCCAGTGCTGTTTGTAAGTACTGCCTGCTAACTGATTGTGCCCCTGGAGCTTCTGCCATGCTGTTTAAATGGTTACTGGCTTCTAAGTTCAACAATTAGCATTTTGCCATATTTTCTGTATTATTATTATTTACATGTATTTTTCTGAGATGTATGAAGTTGTAAAAGTTAAACACTACTAAATACATCAGCATGTCTCCTAAAAACTGACTTTTCTTATAAAAAACACAATGATGTTTTCTAATTTATTTTAATAGCCTACCCATCTTCAAATATCTCATTTTATTTTTGATCTTAACACATATTCTTAGATCTCAAATATTCCTTGAAAAAAGTGTGATAAGTAATTCATTATTAAGTTTGGATTTTTTTTTTTTTTTTAGTCTTTAAAACAAAGCTGGGGGCCAGGGAGATGGCTCAGTGGAATAAGTGCTTCCCTGGCAAGCGCAAGGGCCTGAGTTCAATCCCTGGTTCTGAAAAAAAAACAAAAAACAAAGCTGAGAGGTCAAGAGATCTCTCATTAAAGTTGAAACAATTCTCTTGTGTGCAGTTCTGGAGGAAAAAAAAAAAGGTAATAACCCTCTGTTTTATGTTGTAAATTTTCTAAAGATTGTACCTGTTTGGAATCTTAATATTCATCCTTCTTTCTCCTCATGATAACAATAGCTGATTAACATTTTATATCATGATACTTTTTCATGATTGATTTGGGGTACCTATTCTGCCATATTTTTCACAGTAGTACTCCAGAGTCTATGAAGATGAATAGAGACTATTACAGATGAGCAGAGACTCAAAAATTAAATGCCTTGCTAAAAAGTGGCAGAGCTAGAATCTGAAGTAAGGCTTTCCAAAATAACGTATTTTCCATATATTATATTTCAGATTTTTCCAGAGTATCCGGACTCAGCAAGTAAAGAGTATTGTAAAATAAATACAGCTCAGTGCAAACTCTGGCAAGTATCCTGTCAGTTTGTCTTCCCTCCTATGTTAGGTTTTTGCCTAAGAGGCAGTTCTCTTTCAGCTACACCAAGCTTCTGTCATTCCCAATTTTTTCTCACTAAGGATTCCAGACCCTTGTAATTCTCTCCCACATCCAAACCCTGTCTTACCAAGTTCTATGATTTCTTTG